CTCCCCGCTGAGTGAGGAGCCCTACACACTTGGGGCTTGATCCCAGGACCCTGAGATCATGACCTGAACTGAAGACAGATGCTTAACCAAGTGAAATATCCATGTGCCCAGAAACATGGAGACACATTAAAACGACATGGGAAGGGCAAGCAGATGTTCTGAAATGTGTAGGCATTTCTGGGCATTAAAAAAATCTTAATGATATTTTTTATACTCTTGCCAAAAGATTATTTAAAATAGTTCTTAAAAATTAAATAAAACAAAATAGCTCTTTCGGGGTGCCTGACCAGCTCAGTTGATTAAGCGTCTGCCTTTGGCTCAGGTCATGATCCCAGAGCCCTGGGATCAAGCCCACCTCAGGCTCCCTGCTCAGAGGGGAGTCTGCTTTTCGCTCCCTCTTCCTGGAGCTCTCTCTGCTTGTGCTCTCTCTCTGTCAAATAAATAAATTAAGTCTTTAAAAAATAAAAATAAAATAAAATAGCTCTTTCAATAGTGAGACAGTACTGAAAGAATGGCACGTGAGCAGGCACTTTCAAACAATGCCTAAATGTCTGTGGGAATCCTTCTCTGCCACATAAAATGGGAGTCAGAATATTTTTTCTTTTTTTTAAGATTTTATTTATTTATTCATGAGAGAGAGAGAAGCAGAGACACAGGCAGAGGGAGAAGCAGGCTCCCTGCAGGGAGCCCGATGTGGGACTTGATCCCAGGACCTCAGGATCGCGCCCTGAGCCAAAGGCAGAAGTTCAACTGCTGAGCCACCCAGGCGTCCCAGTCAGAATCTTTTTAACAAGATTTTGTTTTGGGGCAGGTATCTTGGCAATGGCTATAAAAAGCAGTTCAGGTTTATATAATACTGACAGGTGTAAACAAGTTCAAACCACACCCAGTTAGGAACCCTTGATAAAAACAGCACAGTTAGAAAATATATATCAAGAGCTTCGACTCCATAATCTTTGGTTTGGAAATTTATTGTAACAAAATTATGCAAAAGAGTGAAAAGTTTTATTTATGTAAATGCATACAGCAGGATAATTTACAATAGTAAATTGACAGATGAAAATTATCTCCGTGCACATCTACAGAGGGCTGCTGTCCTTAAACCGTGTCTATCAGGGGGCACCTGGGCGGCTCAGTCTTTGAGCATCTGCCTTCAGCTCAGGTCATGATCCTGGGGTCCTGGGATGGAGTTCTGCATCAGGCTTCCCACAGGCAGCCTGCTTCTCCCTCTGCCTATGTCTCTGCCTCTCTCTGTGTGTGTCTCTCATGAGTAAATAAATACAATCTTTAGAAACAAAAAACAAAAACAAACCTCTATGTTTATCAGTATTATGTGGATTTTTTTCACAAATTTGAATATAGTATGAAGTCTGAAAAAAATACTCATCAAAAAATGTTAAGAAGGAAAATATAGAGTTTAAAGCTGTGTTCACACTCTGCTTCTGACCATGTACAAGTCATGCACATGTGGATAAAGATTAGAAGGAGTGACAAGCAGCTACTTTGAAGGGATTGTAGGCATAATTCTTTTGCTAATTAAAAATGTTAGTATTACGGTTTCCTCTGCTAGACTAGAAATCCTTGAGATCGAGGAAGTCTATCTGCCTTGCTCCTCTTTGTATTCTCAGGGCCTACCACAGGGCTTGAATCATTTATTTAACGGAAGGAAGGAAGAGGGGGTGAACAAAAGAGGGAGGGAGGAAGAAATACTTTTAAATTAAGTAAAATGGTAAAACAGAGGGGCTCTCTTATAGGAGAGTAGGAAATTCCATGAGTTTCAGAACAAGGAAATTACTAGGTTAATATATTGGAAAAGTTTATAAGGTCCCAAATTTTGGTTTTAAAATAAAGGTCTTTTGGGGTGCTTGGGTGGCTCAGTTGGTAAGTGTCTGGCTTTGGCTCAGGTCATGATCTCAGGGTCCTAGGATTGAGCCCCACATCGGGCTCCCTGCTCAGTGGGGAGCCTGCCTCTCCCTATCCCTGCTTGTGCTCACTCTTTCTTGCTCACTCTCTCAAATAAAATCTTTTAAAAAAGAAAAAATAAAAATAAAATAAAAATAAGGTTATTTGTTTATTTATTTATTCTTTAAAGATTTTATTTATTTGAGACAGAGAGAAAGAGAGAGTTCCAGTAGGGGGGGAGAGGGAGGAGCAGACTCTGCACTGAGCAGGGAGCCTGACTTGGGACTCGATCCCAGGACCCTGGCTGGGATCATGACCTGAGCCAAAGGGAGATGCTTAACTGACTGAGCCACCTGGGAGCCCCAGGATATACTTCTTTTTTTTTTTTTTTTAAGATTTTATTTATTTATTTGAGAGAGAGAGAGAGAGAGGTGATGGGGAAGGGGCAGAGGAAAAGAATCTCAAGCAGACTCCCAGGACCCATGAGATCACAACCTGAGGTGAAACCAAGAATTAGATGCTCAGTGGACTGAGCAACCCAGGCACCCTCTATTTTAATGTGTTTTTTTTTTAATTTTTATTTATTTATGATAGTCACAGAGAGAGAGAGAGAGGCAGAGACATAGGCAGAGAGAGAAGCAGGTTCCATGCACCGGGAGCCCGACGTGGGATTCGATCCTGGGTCTCCAGGATCGCGCCCTGGGCCAAAGGCAGGCGCTAAACCGCTGCGCCACACAGGGATCCCTATTTTAATGTGTTGATGAACCTCCATACTGTCTTCCGCAGTGGCTGCACCAGGTTGCATTCCCACCAACAATGCACGAATAGTCTTTTTTCTCCACATCCTTGCCAACACTTGTTGTGTCTTGTTTCCTGATGATTAGTGATGAGCATCTTTTCATGTGTTTGTTGGCCATCTGATGTCTTCTTCGAAGAAAATGTCTATTCAGGTCTTCTGCCCACTTTAATCAGATTATTGCATATATATATATATTTTTTGGTCTTGAGTTATTTAACTTCTTTATATGTTTTGGATAGTAACTTCTTATTGGATCTCACATTTAGGTTTTTAATCCATTTTTAGTTTAATTTTGTGTATGGTGTAAGAAAGTGATCCAGATTCACTCTTTTGCATGTGGCTGTAATTTCCCCAACACCATTTACTGAAGAGACGTTTTTTTCCTCATTGTATATTCTTGCCTCCTTTGTCACAGATTGATGATATCATTGTGAGTTTGTTTCTATGCCCTCTATTCTGTGCCATTGATCTATGTGTCTATTTTTGTGCCAGCACCATACTGTTTGGGTTAGTACAGCTTTGTAGTATAGCTTGAAATCTGGAATTGTGATACCTCCAGCTTTGTTTTTCTTTCTCAAGATTGCCTTCCCCATTGGGGTCTTTTGTGGTTCCATACAAGTTTTCATATTATTTGTTCTAGTCTCATGAAAAATGCTGTTGGTATTTTGATAGGGATTGCATTGAGTAAGATATTGGTCTTAGTCAGCTGGATGAATGTGTAATGGGCTGATAATTTATGTTAGTGATGGAGAAACCTGATAAATAACTTTCTCTTCTCAGCCCAAATTGGGATCTAATTGAGGAATCAGGCATGGATCAGTTTATATCAGCTTTCTAAAGAGTGCTGGGTGTGTGGCCACAGTGGGCTCCCTAATCCTTCACCCCTGAGTTAGACAGATGTTGTCATCTGGGCACTGACACAGTTAGACATGGTGGAGAGCAAAGCAGAATCAGCTCTGCACACAGACGGCTGAAAAGATAGAGGGAACACCTTTTCCTTCTCCTGACTCACCAATCAGATAAGCATTCTCCTCTGCTGGGAGAGAGGTGGGAAAGGAGGTCAGGAGTGTTGTTCTGAGGAGCCCTCTCCACAGGGAAGCTTCAGAGCATGGGAAAGAGGTGCTTCCTTAATGACATGGAGCAAGGTGTGTACAGGGTATCATGGGGCACCTGGGAGTCCTAACCCAGTGGTTCTAGGAAGTCTGAATTAAGTTCTGAAGTCAGTTTTATTCAGGCAAGAAGAAACAGAAAGGACACTTTTCTCAGAAGGAAGAATATGGACATAATCATGAAGGTATGAAAAACTGTGAGCTTGGGAATTGGAAGCATGTAATGCTATTAAATCATAAAGTGTGAGGAGTCAGGTTATGGAGGGTGGTGTACACCCATTGGGGATCAAATAACAATCCAGATTTCCCTGTCAAGTGAGGAAGGGTAATTAGATGGAGGAGGCACAGCTTGTTTTTATATTTTTAATGTACCCTAGCTTGGTGCTTGTATCTAGCCAACACTCAGTAAAGGATCAATGTATTGAAATAATTTAGCACCTTCACATGAGGGGTTCTGGTGAGTGCCAAAGATACCCACCAAATATACAGTCTCTGATCCTGTTCTCTTCAGTGTTTCTTTTGAAGCAATCTTCTCTACCGGTGGTCCTCAAAGTATGGTCTTAGAGCAGTAGCAGCAGCAGCATTACCTGGGACCTTACTGGAAATGCAGATTCTCAGATTCCCCACCCCACCCCTAATGAATCAGAAGCTGTGGACTGGGCCAGCAGTCTGCTTCAACAAAACCTTCAGGTGGTTCTGATGCATGGTACAGTTTGAGAATCTCTGGTTCTTAAATATGTCCACTCAAATAGCACCACACATGCCCACCTTGAGAAGCTCTTTATCTGTTATCTGTACATTTTCTATTGAGTCATTAGGATTTCAGACACCAGCTAGCAGACTGTTCTGAGATTTTTTTAAATAAAGATTTTACTATTTATTTGTTGAGGTAGAGAGAGAGCACAAGTGAGGGCAGGGGTGGGGAATGGAAGGAAAAGGAGAATCAGATTGAATGCTGAGTGTGGAGCCCAACGTGGAGTTTGATTTCACGACCCTGAGATCACAACCTGAGTTGAAAGAGTTGGGCACTTAACTGAGCCACTTAGGTGCCCCTCTGTCTTTCTTTTTAAAGACCTGGAGCCCTATTCTCCTTGTTTTATTTGCGTATGTATTTGTATATCATATAAATGTATCAACATATGCCTAATAAGTGTTATTTCTAACTTCAGCAAATTTTGATGTTTTGCCAGGCTCCCAACTAAACAAAAATATAATTTCTCTGTACCTACTGTTTGGAGCAACGGGCAAGAAACGAAAGCCTCACACCCCCACCCCATCCCATCCCCTCCCCTTTGTGAAGCAGAAGACAAGCACGTGCTTGTGCTCAGAAGCCTGAGATATCTCCTGTTGCTTGGTCACATCCCTGGGCTGGAACCATAATCCTGGCAAGATCCAGCACTCCTCTCACTCAACACCACACCTGTGCTGCTGAACTTGGCTGAGGGAAACGAAGGCAGCCTCTGGATGAGGCTTGCTGTAAATGTGTGAGCATTCACTTCCGCAGGCTGGTTGCACTGTCTTACCCCAGATGGTTATGAGCACCCCCTCCCTCCTTTGTTCCTGCTTCTATTTCCTCCAGCTTCACTCCCAACTGGAGACTTGGCTTCAGACATCACTGCAAAAAAATAAAAAAATAAAAAAATAAAAATCACCTAATCAGATGGGGATTTTCACAGGCTCATTACACCAATCCATCTCCTGCGTCCATGCCCCAGTGCTGTCTCTGACATGCCATCTGGGGTGCCGGGGGCATACTAGCCTCTATCCTATCTTTGATTCAAGGTCATTCCCGGGCACTTCCCCTTTCTCTCCCACATCATCAGTTTCTTTTTTGCTGGATTGTCCTACAAACCAATCAACCAACCAACCAACCAACCAACCAACCAAGAAACAAACCAAAAGTATCCCTCTGGATCTCCTTTCTCCTTCTTGCTGTTACAGGATTTGGTGTCCCCTTAGTGCCCATGGTTCTTGGTCATGCCACTTTGAAGAATGATGAGGGCAGCAAGGCAAAGTTTATTGAGCAAGAGTATAAAGCTCCCAGAGAAGGAGGGTGGCCTGAGTGGGTTGCCCTCAGAGTTCCTAAGTTTAGTTCCTAAGTTTTTATGGGGTCTTTTGTGGAACTTTCTTAAGCAATCAGGGAATGGTGAGTCATGCCAATCGGGGCTTTGGTCACGTACCTGTCTACCTCTTAGGTGAATGTCCACATGCTTACGGTCCTTTTTGATGACATCCAGCGACTTGGGTCTTACCTGTCCCTTGCCCGTGATACTGACAAATGCTTTCATGGTTCATTGTCTTATTTTAGGACATTCTGCAGATGTCATTTCTGCAAAGGCTGCAAAGCAGAATGTCAATGCGGTTCTGTCTCAGCTGCACAATGGGATGCCGGTGCTGTTTGATTTTAGATGCCTTGACTCCATATTTCTGTGTTGGAGACCCTGCCCTGACTCCCTAACTGTCCCACTGACTCCTAGCACAGATCTTGCCCTTGTCCTATTTTCCCCTGGACAATAAAACTGCTTGATTTCACAGTGAGATTTCTGCTCCTGTTGTTCCGCACTGTGGAGCCAGTGCTCATTTTCAGTCCCAGCAGCATTGGGCACTGTGAAGTGTCTTCTAGAAATATTTTTCCTCTGTCGGCTGCCAAGATACCACACTCCCCTGGTTTCCTCTGTACCTTTGCTGATTCCTTTCCCCTTCCTCCCCTTCTTCCCCTCTAAATCAGTGCGGTCCAGAACTTTCTGCACTGATCCAGACGTTCTGTGTCTGCACTCTCCAGTATGGTAGGAACGAGGGAGCAGGAGGCAGCTGAGGACAAAGCAGGAGCTGAAACACCAGGCCTCCCCTGCCCACACACAGGTGGGACATGGGTGACCTTCCTCAGGTAGCCCTGGCTGCCCTAAAGCTAAGGGAAAAGAAAAACAAATGGTTAACTTTCAGGGATCACAGTCCTGCCAGACACCAGTCTCTCTCAGTTCACAAATGTCTTAGTGATTGCTTATCAATAATCTAACTTCCAGAGGGAACTGTAGATTCAATTAAATGTCCTTATAACTTGCAGCCCATTGACAGGTAGGTACAGAGTGTAATGTTCCTCCAGGAAGCTCCCAACCTTCTGAATGTTAATACTTTGCTGGGGAGTGGGAGGTGGGGGGTGGGGATGGGGCAACAACCTTAATTTGACAATGGCAAGGCCTCCAGCATCTTGTAGGTCCTCTTTTGCCTATGAAAGTTCTCTTGAAAACCTCTCTTTTCCTACCACCCCCAACTCCCAAGTATATAATCAGACACCCCTTACAACCCCGGGCAGCAGCTCTTTCTGCCCACAGGTCCTATTCTGGTGCTTTAATGAAATCACCTTTTTGTACCATAAATGTCTTAAGAATTCTATCTCGGCCATGGGCTCTGGACCTTACCCCACCAAACTTCACCTACATTCCAAAACTACATCAGTAGGCCTGTGCGCTGTTACCCTCTTAAAATGAGGCTAGCATACTTGAAGAGCTGAATTTTAACTTTAGTTTAAAATTTAATTTTAATAACCACATGTGAGCAAAGACTATTGTACCGAACAGTGCAGCTCTAGATATGGGAGTGTCCCCAGGCTCAGTTCTTATGCTAATTAAATCCAAGTTCAGGCACCCATAGCTCTCCAAAGGTCAATGCTCAAGAGAATTTTGATTGGAAAGCAATATGAACTTTATTAAGGAGGTCAGCCACCTGGGGAGAAGGCGGACCCTTGTCCAAACCCAAATCTGACGTTTTTGCCTGGCCCAGACATTTGTAAAGGGCTTTATTTTTTTTTAAAAAAAATATTTATTGATTTGAGAGAGAGAGAGAGAGCAGGAGCAGGGGAGGAGCAGACAGCAGGGAGAGAATCTCTAGCAGACTTCGTGCTGAGTGTGGAACCCCACCTGGGGGTCGATCTCATGACCCTGAGATCACAATCTGAGTTGAAACCAAGAATTGGATGCTTAACCGACTGCACAACCCAGGCACCCTTAAAGGGCATTGATCAGCTAACGGAGTGTTGTGGTCTGTGTCATTTCTTGATTACGTGCAGACTCAGTGATGCCAGCTACAGAGTAAGCTTGGTGCTTGGAAGTTGTGCAAGAAATTCTTATTTCTTAATGCTCAGAGAGGGTTTGTCTGAGAAGATCTGCTTTCTTGGCACCTGGGGGTGGTATAAGAGTAGTCTGTTCTTTCTGCAAAGGAGGAAAAGGTCTGCAGGTGTGCAAAGGTTGGTTAATTGTGGAGGCCGAGAAAATTAAGGCCATTCCACCTCAAGTTTAGCGTTAGCACAAGTACAGCCACCTTAGGCCCCTGTGAATAAGAGCTGAACTTTACAGGAAAAAACGCAGAATGCCCTTGACAGAGAGTCCCATATCAGAATGAGAACAGAGCTTAATGCCCTTGACAGAAAGTCACATATCAGAATGAAAACAGAGCTCAGAACGCCCTTGACAGAGACAGAAAGTCCCATATTGGAATGAAAACAGAGCTTAAGAAATTCCTCCACCCCTTCTGAAAATCCCCTAGACCAGCCCATAAAAACCCCCCTCAGGGTCCAAGTCCCTGCTCCGCTGTGTCGGGTATACTTGAACCCAAGCTCGAGCTTGCTAATAAACCCTCATGTACTTGCATCCATGTTGGCTCCTAGGTGGTTTTCTCGGATTCGCAATCTTGAGCACAACAAATAAGGTCCTTTGTGTGGTCTTAAAAGAGAAAACATTTTGGTAAAAGATTGCTGGGGTCATCTGAAAGCTAAGGTGGCTTCAAACAGGCTCTGGCCTCTGTGGCCTGGGAACAACGTTCTGGTCCCTCATTCCCCAAGGCCAGGTATCTGCCAATCTCAAAGAAAGGGGATTAGTTCTGTTACGGATTAAGGGCCTTGCATCAGCAAGCAGGGGGTGTGTTATCCTGAAGCATGCTAACCTTTGACACTGGCTGGAGTGCTGTTACACTTGGACCTTCTCTTTTCTCTGCCTACAACCATGCTCCTGGTAGTGTTACTCAGCCACATGGCTGTGATTACTACCTGTATACCAGGAGCCCCAAAGGTTTAGCTGCAGCCAGATCCTACCTCTGAGCTCCAAGAGAGAAGATCAAATTGTCTACTTGACATTTCCTACTTGGATGTCTTGGACATCCCAAACTTATTGGGTCTAGAATGGTGCCCCCAGTGTCCACCCCAAGCCAGCAAAACCCTGGAGTCCTCCTTGGTCTTTCGAGCATTAGTTAATAACCGCTCAAACTTGCAGCTGCTCAGGCCAAATGCCTTAGAGTCATCTTAGATCCCTCTTTCTCTTTATGTTCCCTTCTCCACCCGATCCACCAGAAAATCCCCCTTCACTCCACCTGCAAAGATATCTGAATGCTGACCACTTCCCAGCGCTTTCACTGTCCACATCCTGACACAAACCATCACCCCTCACCTAGATCATTGAGAAATCTCCTAATATGTACCTAAGTCTGAACTTGGTCTCTCTGTAATCTATTCCCCACAAAGTAGTCAGCATGGGGGTTTAAAAATAGGTCTTGGGGAAAAAAAGAGGTAGGGTGACTTTTCTGCCCCAAAGAGACCCCGGTCTCACTCAGAGGACAGTCGGGGTCCTGACTGTGACCTAAAGCTCCCACACGCTATGCCCTCCTGCCTTCTGTGGGGCCTTGTGTCCTCCCACTGTCTCCTCATCCATCCACTTAAACTAGTCTTCTCAAAGGTGCTCACATGTACCCAGGGTGTTCCCACCTTAGGGCCCTTGTTGCATTATTTGGTCTGGAATGTTCTCTCAGATATCTGCACAGCCAGTTCTCTTTTCTCCTTCAGGGCTTCTCTCAAAGCCACCTTCTGAGTCTGGTCTTCCCTGACATTTCATCCAAAATCTCACACACAGCATCACTGTGACTATCTACATCTCTCTTCCCACTTTTTCTTCCTCCACTACTTACCTAACATTCTGTATGTTCTTCTTCTTCTTCTTTTTTTTTTAAGATTTAAAAAATTTATTTATTCATGAGAGACCCAGAGAGAAAGGCAGAGACACAGGCAGATAGAGAAGCAGACTCCCTGCAGGGACCCCAATACAGGACTCTAGCCCAGACTCCTGGGATCAAGACCTGAGCCAAAGGCAGAGGCTCAACCACTGAGCCACCCAGGCATCCCTAGCATGCAACAATTGAAAGAGTAGGTATTTTAATGATTTTTTAAAATTTACTTGAGAGAGAGAGAGAGAGAAAGAGTATGAGTGGGGGGAAGGGCAGAGAGAGAAGGAGAAGCAGACTCCTTACTGAGCAGGAAGCCCAATGAGGGGCTCAATCCCAGGACCCTGGGCTCAATCCCAGATGTTCAACCACTGAGCCACTAGGTGCCCTGGTCCTATCTTTATTTGAAATTTTCATATTTTGTTCATCACGGATATCTTGCATTATTTTGTAAAATTATTTTTAATTAATTAATTAATTTTTAAGTAAGCTCTATGCTCAACATGGCCTTGAACTCACAGCCCAAGATCAGGAGTCCCATGTTCTACTGACTGAGCCAGCCAGGCACTCCTGTGTTGATTTTTTTAAAAATATTATTTATCAGGATTATTGAGGAGTTTTTTGATGGCTCCTTAAATTTTGCACTTAAGGCCC